ACACAGGTTGAACGGTCCAGCAACAAAAGAACAGTGCAATGACCAAGTAACAACAGCTCATTACTATCAGAGATCAAAAAACACAAACAGGTTTTCCCCTCAGCCCAAATCCTCCTATCAGTGTAGGCTGAAATGCAACCTTTCCCTTCTCCCACACAACATTAAAATCGGTACCAAGGCTGGTGATTTCTCATCTGAACTATAATTTTCTCATATTATTCAGAATAAACCTTCAGAAGCTAAAACTCACAGCCAGTCTTTTCCAACTCTGAGGTCTCACGTGGTGGCAAATGTGCTGGATGAAAGTTCTCAAGAGGAACCATGAGTGGGAGAGGCTAGAAGAAGCCTTGGTTGTCCTAGGAGGTGAGGGTCCTGCAGCCGCCCAAGCCAGCTCTGGGGTGAGTGCGGCCTGCTTGGTAATTGCTTCATTACAAGTGGAGACTGTTTGCAGGTGCTAAGATCACTCACTTGTGGGGGTTTTATTGCACTCGTCAGATTAACAAACATTTTTGATTAAATCACCACTTCACTGGCTCTGAGCACACGACTTTTAATAAGAGGACAATATCTACTGCTACTGAGCAGCAGTGCATGTTCAGTGCTCAGACCCGCTGGGGGCAACAATGGAACAAGGTAGGGAGAAAGCCAGATGTCAGGCTTTTTCCAAGGCGCAGTTACAGATGTCAAATCTTTGAATATCCAAGCAAAAAGTAAACTCAGAGACCAAGATGGCAAATATAAATATCTACAGTGGTACTGGGGTGGGGGGCGGGATAGAATCCACCCCAGCATAAGGCACTAGAATACATGCCCCACCAAATCCAAACTCTTTAAAAATCTGTCAGCCCAACAGAAGACATCTATGATCTGTTTTTGGACCATAGTCAGGGAGTCTGTAGCTCCTGGTGAAGTTCAAGTCCTTCATGTTACAGATCAGAAACTCATACCCAAACAAGAGAGGAGACTCAGCCATGGTGGAAGGAGGCAAAAGAACATTACAGAGCCAGGCGCAGAGGCTCATACCTGTAATCCCAGCACTTTGGGAGGCAGAGGCGAGAGGACTGCCTAAGTCCAAGGGTTTGAGACCAGCCTGGGCAATTTGGCGAGACCTCGTCTCTACAATACATCAAAAAATTAGCCGAGTGTGGTGGCGCTCACCTGCGGTTGGTGTGGTATTGCATGCCAGTTACTTGGAAGGCTGAGGTGAAAGGATCACCTCAGTCCAGCAGGTTGAGGCTGTGGTGGCCATGAGTGTGCCACTGCACTCCAGCCTGGGTGACAGAGTGAGAGTGACCCAAAACAACAACAACAACAAAAAACACTACAAAGGCAGACCAGAAAGAGCTATTGTGATGATCACCAATTGTGTGCCAGGTGCTTTATATATACTGTCTCCCTAAATCCTCACAACCAACGGTGAGGTGAGGTTGATCTGTAGCAAGACTGCAGTTGTCTGCTAAAACATGCTGGTCACTTCTTCCATAGTCACTGAGCTCTAGTTGGGCATGTGGCCTCCTGACTGGCAAACGTATTTCCTAGCCCCCCTTGCAGTTAGGTGGGGCTGCACATAGTAGTTTTTTACAGTACAAAGTGGGCAATCTGGGCCTAGGATCCTTAAGATAGCAGGTGAGCTTCCCCACTCTCTCTCCTTCCCTGCCAGCAGACACACTGATGAGGGGCACCCTGGCTCCACTGATAAGGCAACAACAAGGCCCTGGAGATGGCAGAGCCGCAGATAGAGGGAATCTGGCAGAACCACCAGCCTGATACTCTAGACCAAGGGCTGGCAAACTGGTCTATTGGTCCAATGGCCCACCACCTGTCTTTGCAGATAAAGTTTTAGTGGAACACCGCCACACCCACTCCTCTACATATTCCTTGTGCTGCTTTGTGTTGAGGACTAAATCTGACCTTTTTTTCCCCCTCTTGCCCAAATTCCTAAAGGCTTGGGGAGTCACTGCCTGATAAGGACACACCAGACAGGGTTTTATTCCCTATTATCCTATATCCTAAAGTTTGCCTTCCAACCTGACTCTGGCATAACATAACAAATAAATAAGGCTTATGACCCTGCAAAGCCATCTCTTATGCATTCCCAGACTCTGGGGAGCCTTGTAAGACACTTCTGTATCCTCCCTGAAGTCTGCCATATATAGGACTTCATCTACATATCAACAAACCTGGAGTTTCCCACCCCCTAATCTTAACAAAGCATCTCCCCTATTCCTTAGATAGAAACTGCAAATTACAAGACAAGAAATCTTTGAATCTGCCTATGACTTGCAAGCTCCCTCCCACATCTTGGAAATGTCCCTCTTTCCCGGGCCAAACCAATGAAAATATCCCATGTATTGATTTATGGTTACTTGTAACTTCTGCCTTTCATTCAACCAGGGTGGGCACACGCCCTCAGGACCTCCTGAGGATGGGTGTCATGGGCCTAAATATGACCTGCAGGTTCCCTCCCACATATTGGAAATGTCCCTCCTTCTTGAGCCAAACCAGTGAAAATATCCCATGCATTGATTTATGGTTACTTGTAACTTCTGCTTTTCTTTTTTTTTTGTTGGGAGTCTCACTCTGTCACCCAGACTGGAGTGCAGTGGCCGCTCCCGGCCACCGCAGCCTCGACCTGCTGGGCCCCGGCGATCCTTCCGCCTCAGCCTTCCAAGTAGCTGGAACTACAGGCGCGCGCTACCACGCCCAGCTAATTTTTGACTTATTGTGAAATGAGGTCTTGCCAAGTTGCCCAGGCGGGTCTTGAACCTGCGGGCTCAGGCAATCCACTCACCTCAGCCTCCCAAAGCGCTGGGATTACAGGCTGAGCCACCAAGCCCGGCTAACTTCTGCCTTTCATTCTACCAGTGTGGGCACACGCCCTCAGGATCCCTGAGAATGGGTGTCATGGGCCTAAGGTCACTCACATTTGGCTCAAGAATAAATCAGCTTAAAAAATTTTAAAGAGTTTGGCATCTTTTTGTCAACAATGTTAAGACAGCCTGTCTGAGAACCGTTGGTTCTCATCATTTGTGGTAACCATGTTTTATAAGGTGTCACCAACATTGAGTGAGCAAAGGTCGAACCAAGTTAGGTTGCTGCAAGCCTCTTGTCCCATTTTCAACAACGGATCCATACACAAACGCTTTATGCGTTTCTACTTAAAATGACCTTACTTAATAGATATTGTTAATTCATTGAGACGAACTCATGGCCTACAGCATGTATAGTACCGAGTTACATCGTGGGTTATGTCATACCTGAACAAAGTGTATCTCAGAAACCCATTTTCTCCATAAGGCACATCATGGCTTTCTTGCACTTAGGAACACTAGACTGCTCTTCAGCACTATGCTTAGGGGCTACTTGAAACAGTGAAATCACCAAGAGAAATCACAAAAATGCAAAAAAACGATGCATTAAAGAGACCACAGAAAGGACAGTTGTTTACAGAATGGCAGCTGAAACAAGAAGGCAAAACACTTGTTCGACCTCGGCTGGGAACATGGGGCTGGGAACATGGACCTCGGGCGACTCAGAATGTTCCCCACTGCTTTGCATTTGCCGCTGAATGACTGCAAAGGTGGGAGTATTGGTTTGGGAGCTACAAATACATTTTGGCCAGTAGGCAAATTTGCAAATATGGAATCCGTTGAATAATGAGGATCAACTGTAGTTATGGCCCACAAAGTCTAAAATATTTACTATCTGACCCTTTACAGACATGTCTGCTGACACCTATTCTAGCCTGTTAGAAAAAAACCTCAAAACTTCAAACTTACATATTCTTGAAGTCACTGAGTTTTGGAGTTTCTCTTGTTATATATAGCACCTTACTGAGCCCTAATACAGGCTATAAAGTCTATGCTCTTCCTATTACATAGTGCCATCTCATTTCACCCTTCGTAAACTATTCTCTTAAAAAGAGATTCACCTTTCCATCAACTGTTTTTCCCACCAAGTAGGCCAATATTTCTCAAAGGGTGCTACTAAAATTACCTGCATTAGCATGCGAGCATATGGCTTGTTAAAAATGCAGATTCCTAGTTAAAATTCACACCCAAGTCCTCTTGAATCTCTCAGGGTGTGGGAAGAGTTCAACTCTCCGTTTTTAACAAGCTCTGTGATTCTGTGCATTCTAAAGTTTGAGAATGATTGAACTCAGTAGTAAGGAGACTGAAACCCGGGAGGCAAAGATGCACTTCCAGGAAGACCACCGATGCTTGATCCTCAGTTCCACCACCTCCACCCTGGGTTCTACTTGAAACTTCAGTGTTCTCATCTGTACAAATGTCACAGGCTTGCAGTGAGAATTAACTGAGAATGCCAAGTGAAAGTAGCATACAGTTGTTGCTCAATAGGATCAGCTTTCTTTCCCTTCTATAGGCAGCATATTACTTTTAAGCCCTTCAGTAACATCACCAAATTCCAGGCTTCTCTTTACAGATTCCCAAAGTAATTTTCAAGCTACAAGCTTCACTACCCTAGAGGAAAAATTTCTCATCTCCAGAGATGTTTAAACCACTCAACGGTATGCCCTCCCTCACTTTGGGGTCCTAGCCCTTTGGAGGCTCCCCTCATCTACAGGTCCCTACTTCTGTGGGGTCCCCCTCCCCTCACCTGAGCGCCCATCACTTTTGGTTACTCTTCATTTACATGCCCCCCCCCCGGTCCTACTTACTTCTGTGTCCCCCTCACTTCTGTCCCTGTCTTTTTGGGGGTTCCCCTTCGCCTCCACGTCTTTTCCTCTCTGGAAGTCCCCTCGGCTCTGGTTCTCTCACCTGGCATCCCCCCGGATTCCCTCAACTTGTTCCCCCGTCGTGTCCCCTCGCCTCCGGGGACCGCGTCGGGCCTTCTCACCCCTCGCACCCCTCTCCCAAACTAGCATCACCTTCACTTCCTCCCCTTGGCTCCTCCTCCATCTTACAACCCGGCCGACTCATTACCCTGCAGCTGAGAGACGGCAACTGGTGCTGTGGCCCAACCCTCGCTTCTCCCCTCACCTCTAGAGCGACGCCCAGATTCTCCCGCTTCTTTTTAGTCATGTTGCTTGCCGGGATCCCCCTGTCGTTACGGGACGCACCCACCGAGTCGCAGCACGCATGCGCAAGTCTTCGTGCTTCTCTCTCATTGGCCACTGAGGCAGCGGGAGGTGGGGCTACTTGGGTCGCCATCTTGTTGAGGGACGCGGCCATGTTTATGAGGGGCAAACTCCAGCTTGAGGCCCCCGTCTAGGGGTGGGGAGAGGAAAAAGTCGGAATCGGGAGGCACAGTGGCCCGTCCAGGATTGGGGCTGCCCCGTTGCCTCCCAGTTCAAAATTATGTACATAACTGAGAGCCTTTTTAAGTCCCCTCTTCTTCAGTACCCTTCATTCTTCAGTAACCACCTTGCACATTTTAGGCCACGCCCCCCCCTCCTGTTCGTTCTTCAAGGCCCATCCTGGTGTTCTAGAGCCTCCTCAGCCCTTTGGGGTCTTATCCTGGCCTTCTGTTGTTATTCCTCCTTTTGGTCTTGTGTTCGTACTCATATTTTTAATTTTATTGTAAGAACAGCCTACAGACATCACAGAAAACTTATAAAGGAGAGGCAGCATTCTTTCTCCTGCCAACCTTATCAGTTCCTATCTTTGCTTCTGTGTGTTCCTTTCAGGCTCGGTCTCACACATAATATTTTATACTGTTGTAATCCTATTTTACTGTACACTGAAGACCCGTGGCCTTTGAAATGTTTTGACTGTGACTCCACGATAAAAATTCTATTTTATACCATGGCCCAGTTCCCCATATAACCCAAACCAAAGTTTCACATTAAGTACTTTACCACTTGTGATGTGCTCTGCTATTTTCTATTCTAGCCTATTTGATTTTAAAAGTTGGTGGCAGGAGACCTATTAGGTTTATTTCATGACCCATTAATGGAGAGTAAACTGCAATTTAGAAAACTATCACAGACATTTTTCCATGTCATTGATATCATTTGTGGGTTGCATGTGCCACCAAGTGAATACATCCCATTCTTGCCCTGGACATTATTTTATTGGACAGTGCCTCCAGATAGTGCTGAAACAAACATCTTTGTGCACATAGCACTGTCCTTCTGGGTTCTTTCTGTAAGATAAATTCACAGAAGTGGAATTGCTGGATCTAAGAGGATGAGACGAAAATCAAAGCTCCTCATTTCCTGACCAGTTATCTCTCCACTGGAGTCTGTGTTTTTGTGTGTGAATAATGACCCCAACTCAGTGTTTGGGGGAAAAAATGTTTTCAGATCTGTGTTCTCTTCTTGATAGAGTCATTGAGTGATGGAACTGGAAGGGATTTGAGATACCATCTCGCCTGACTGAGCCCACAGAGAGAAAGTGTAGTAAATTCTATCTGAACAAGAAGCAGGCCTTTGAGCAGTTGTTTAGTGCAGTTCTCAGCTAAACACTCAGCACAGGAAAAACTTATTCAAGAACATTGTCCATCAACTGTCAATCAGCAGCACTTATTGTCAGAACACTCTTCACAGCATTGGTTCCAATCCCAGAAAAATCAGACTCTGCTTCCCAATTATCACAGGCACCAGCCCAGGGGAGGTGAGAAGAGGAGGAAAAACACTGTGTTCTTTTAGAAGTGGCTCCTTCTGCATTTGTTTGGCACCAAGAAAAAGCCACAGAGATCTGGGTGTGCCTCATGTCGATCTCCTGTCTCTTTCTCTCATTCCTCCAGAAAATGATGGACAAACTGTTGTCTTTCTCCCTGAAAAGTCTCCTATTTTCCCAAGCAAACCTTATCCCACAGGACTGATAATGGGACAGAATTCTTGAAGTGGGACTGGAATGAGAGTCTACCTGAGTTATAGTGAAAGGGGAGGCTTTTAGACAGAGACCAACTCGACTCCAATGCCATCTCTGTGACTCAGCAGTGGTGTGATGTGGGGCAAGATATTCCTGTTCAGTAAACATCAGTTTCCACGTCTATTAAGACATGAACACTATGCCAGGCTCACAGGGACCTTGTGAGTGTTACTAAGTGGTCAGGGATGTGACATGTGTAACCAGGAGAGACTCAGCAGGACGGATGAGCTTGCTACACCAGCTTGTCACTATAGGGTTTTGCTTAGCCAGTGTTGCCATTGGTATTTTTTGTTACTGTTTTGATTCTGATTCCTATCGGCTTTGACGCTATTGTATAGTATTTGTTGTTATGAATTTGGGGCAAATTCTTAGATTGTTTCCTGCTATCAAGGGTGCACAGTTCACTGCAAAAGGTAGCCCCCAACAAATACAAGCATCTCTCTGTGGAGAGGAGATGCCCTCTCCACCTCTCTCTACCAGTCCTTCCTGCTGAGATCATCAGTTAAGGGGTTTCTTGTGCCCAGACAATGGTGCCCCCCGTGGTGTCAAGGAGGACACAAGCATGCAAGCGCCCCGGGTAACCCACCAAGGTCCTTTCACCTCTTCGTCACATACAGAGACCCAGCTTTGATTCCCACGGGGGCTGTTTGTGAGTATTAATGCAGCTTGGCTTGGCGCCGCGCTGAAAATTCTGTCCATGAGCAGATGGATTACTGTGGGCTGTCTGTCTGTCTGTCTTTGTTCCCCAGTGAGCTGTGGTTCTGAACCTCCTACTTGAGGATTTTTAGAGCTTAGTGTTTAAGGGAAATAGAGCACTGCATTGGCAGACAGGAGAACTGAGGTCATTCCAGGCTGGGCCAGGTTCTCACTGCATGACCTAGGGCAGGTTCAAGCCTCCTCTTGTCTGTGAAATGGGCACAGCAGGGAGAACAAAACGCCTTAGAATTCTGTTTTTCAAGACCTTGATACTTGTAAGGTACCCAGACCCAAGGCTCCCTCATTAGCTGTGAGGTAGACACAGAAAATAATAATTATTACCCTCAAAATCTCTTTAATACAGTCAGACAGACGACATGAAATAGTGCATGCCAGACATCATATAATTAAATGCCAGCTGTCTGGAACTCACTGTTGATGCATTAAGAGCTCAGAGAAAAGAGAATGGGGTGGGGATTTGAGGGTGGCTTTGGGGAGGCTATGGGTCCTGGAGGAGAGATGAGATTGGGTTAGATGGAGATGGCAGAGAGGACACCCCAGGTGAAAACCAAAGGGGTTTCCAGTGCCAAGAGGGGGCACCCTTCTCAACGTTACATGAAAGCACTGTACATGCTAGCCACATCCCTGGCTTACTTATCCTGGAGACCATGGGAGACCATTTCTTCTGGCCCTAGCCTCATTCTTGGCTTTCCTGAGTTGTTGGGTCCCTGCCGCTGCCCCGAGGGAACATTTTCAGAGCAGGGGTGAGGGAGACGGGCATCCTTCACTGTCAGAAGCATTTCAGGCAGGAAATGAAGACTTTTGTAGGTGGTTAAAAATACAGTGGAAGCTGATTTATGTTTGAATTTTGTTCCAGGACAGGAGATTATAGCCCAAGTTCTGAGGCAAAGGCAGCGGTGTCTTTATGGCCTGCTTGGATCAGTTTTATGTCTTAGTGAGTTTTATATGTTTCAGCTAAGCCAAGATGCTCAAACTTTTTTGTCCACATACTTCACTGGGGAAAATGGTGGTACCGCTCCTTGCACCCAAACTCATTTTACCATATAAAGAAAAGAAAGCAAAATAGATGAAAAGAATATTCTTGCTTGGTACTTAGTTGGTATCTAGTTTTTAGTTAAATCATACCAAATCATAAATAGACAATGAACGTGTGACTGAAGTAGATGTCAGATGACATCATGGAAACCAAAGGGCAAGGATCTAAATCTTGTTGAATACGCAGACCACTCCACCCTACAGTATCCTCTCAATGAAAAGAAATTCTATCAGACACCAGTGCCAAGATAAGCTCTGTGGCCTTTTTGGGCATGCTGATAGGCTTTTATCCTATGGCTGTTGGACCTTTTGTAACCGATCATGCTTCCTACGTTCTTTTGTTCATGAGGAAGCTCAGAGACAAACTTGTTCAGGGATTTTGAGCATAAGTTTCCATGTACTAGCGTTTTCTCTGGCTTTATTTTATTTTTCTACCCTTGTTTTCCCTCTGCTCCATCACTGTATCTATTTTTATCCCACTATATTGTGTGCATTTGGTAAGCTACCTCAAATCCTTTTTTGGAACACAAAGGAACATAAATAAATCAATAAATATATCCTGTGTTTGTAAATATGGCATTTTGTTCTTTCTAAAGCAATTTTTGTATCTGTTAGCTCTGTGAGTCCTCATATACAAGTCCAGAAATCTGTGGGCTATAAGTGAAAGTAGCCCAGTTCAAATTAGCTAGCTCAAAAAAGGGGATTTATTGAACTCCATTCTGGAAAGAGCAAAAGTGAGGCTCAGGCACCTGGAACCCAAGGTACCTCTGTGAGGAAAGTAGGGCAGGCTTTATCACCCCCATTTTGCAGACAAAGAATCTGAGGTACATCTATGAATAAAGTAGTTTGCAGAGGACAGACCTACGCCTCCTATATAGGGGAGCACATGGACCCCTCTGGAGAAGACAAGAATATGAAACTAGCAACCTATTAGGTGACTTTTTTTTTTTGAGTTGGAGTTTCACTGTGTCGCCCAGGTTGGAGTGCAGTGGCACACTCCTGGCCACCGCAGCCTCGACTTGCTGGGCTCCGGCGATCCTTCTGCCTCAGCCTTCCAAGGAGCTGGAACTACAGGTGCGCGCTACCACGCCCAACTAATTTTTGATTTATTGTAGAGATGAGGTCTCGCCAAGTTGCCCAGGCAGGTCTCGAACCCGCGGGCTCAGACAATTCACTCACCTCAGCCTCCCAAAGTGCTGGGATTACAGGCTGAGCCACCGAGCCCGGCAAGGTGACGTCTTATTAGTAGATTCTGATTGCAGAAGGAAGAAACCAAGGTTGGTGATGCCAGTTGGAGAGGAAACAAACTGGGGTGACCCAGGCTCCAGAGACCCCCCTCCACCAGAGCCCACATCTGCGTTGCCATCCTCTTGTTTCTGATAATAGACCCACTCCTATTGGTCACACGAGTGGCATATGATCCAAGCTAGGCAGACAATCATAGAAGCAAATGCTCCTAGCCATGTGTTTGGTTCAGAAGGGAGGATATACATGACCT